CACCAGTTTTTTTGGGTTTTTTTAAATGCTTTTTATTGATTTTTTACAGAGAGGAAGAGGGATAGCTAGAAACATCGATGAGAGAGAAACACCCATCAGCTGCCTCCTGCACTCCTACTGGGGATGTGCCCACAACCAAGGTATATGCCCTTGACGGGAATCGAACCTGAGACCTTTCAGTCCGCAGGTCAATGTTCTATTCACTGAGCCAAACTAGTCAGGGCAAGGCCAGTTCTTTTTCCCCCTGCAAAGGAGTGTTGACTCCAGTTTTTATTTTTTTATTTTATTATTACTTTTAAAAATATTTCGTTGATTTTTTTTTTTTTTTTTTTTACAGCAAGGAAGGGAGAGGGATAGAGAGTTAGAAACATCAATCAGCTGCCTCCTGCACACCGCCCACTGGGGATGTGCCCACAACTAAGGTACATGCCCTTGACCGGAATCAAACCTGGGACCTTTCAGTCCACAGGCCGATGCTCTATCCACTGAGCCAAACCAGTTAGGGCTACTCCAGTTTTTAAATGTTTGTTTTAGTTCAGGTAATTAGTACTTTTACTTGCTTTGTCCATGTGAATCACTTTGTCCACCTGAATCGGGAGGCATCACTACCAAGGCCTGGTCTAAAGGAGGAGGGCCAGGGATGAAGGGACTGCAGATGGGCTAAACTTGGTGGTCAGAGCCAGCCATAGCCCAGTGAATCCCCTCAGAGGTGGATCAAATGACACAGCCTGTTGAAGCAGAGGCACACCCAGGTTCTTGAGTTTTAAATGGTGAGGTGAATACAGCAGAGGGGTGCATTTGGGGGTAGGTGTCGAGTGGCACTTTCCCTGGACTTAGATTTTTGACACAATGAATATCTTGTTCCCCAGTGGGAAAAAGGGAGTTTTAGGCTGCTTACCTCAGTTCGTCACCTGACATTATTAGTAGTTTTTAGAGTATGGAGTTGGAATGTAGGCATATCTGGTGGTGGCCAATCATTATTACTTAATTTTGTATTGGTTTTGAGAGAGAATCATCCATGTGAGAGAAACAGATCAGCTATCTCCTGCATGCCCCTGACCAGGAATTGAATTAGCAACCTTTTTCTGCACAGGACAGCGCCCATGCAACTGAGCCACACCAGCCAAGGCTATTACTAATTCTTTAAGTTATCATTATGGATTCATGGATTTTTATAAATGCAGTGTGCTTAATGAATTTTAGTTATGTATTTGAAAATTTTTATTATGAAAAATTTAAACATACACAAAAGGTGACAGTTTTACGGTGAATGCCTACCTGTATATGCACCCTAGATTCTGCCATTGATATTTGACTGTTTCGCATATCTGTCCATCAATCTGTTCGGTTCATTCTTCAGCCTACTTTATTTTTATGGTGCACTTCAAAGTAAGCAGAAAGTTGAACTCTTCCCTTGTAATACATTTTTTAAAATATATTTTTATTTATTTCAGAGAGGAAGGGAGAGGAAAAGAGATAGAAACGTCCATGATGAGAATCATAGATTGGCTGCCTCCTGCACACCCCATGCTGGGGATCGAGCCTGCAACCCAGGCATGTGCCCTTGACTAGAATTGAACCTGAGACGCTTCAGTCCGCAGGCTGATACTCTATCCACTGAACCAAACCAGCCAGGGCTTCCCTTGTAATATTAACCAGAGTCCAGTATTTATGTACAGTCCTTTTTTTTCTTTTGAAGTAATGCACAGGTCTTTTTTGTATATATTTTTATTGATTTCAGAGAGGAAGGGAGAGGGAGAGAGAGAGACATCAATGATGAGAGAGAATCATTGATCAGCTGCCTCCTACACCCCACACTGGGGATTGGAGCCCGAAACCCAGGCATGTGCCCTGACCGGAAATCGAACCCTGACCTCTTGGTTCATAGGTTGATGCTGAGCCACACTGGCCAGGCCACATGTCTTGAATATACCATTGAGTGAGCTCTAACCACTGCATACCAACCCGTACCAAGATGTAGACCATGACCAACACACCCAGAAAGTGCCCTAGGGCCCCTTTCCAGGTGTTCCTTGAAACCATTCCCCAGAAGCAACAGCTGTTCGGAATTTTTTCTCATTTATTAGTATTACCTGTTCTAGAACTTCATATAGGAAACTATTTATTTATTGATACTCAGTTGCCCCAAATGTAGCCAGTCAGAGCTCTTACCAGTCAGCTCCTTGTTCTTTGGACAAGACTGCATCAATCTCTTAAGCAGTTTCTGACACTGCAGCTTGACCTAGCCCACCCAAGTACAGTTTCTGTATCAGGTGCTGAATCAGCCACTTCTCCCAGGAGCTCCTTTTAAATAGGTTTTAGACAATATCAATCCTACAAAAGCCCTGGATAAAAAGGTCAGCCATCTGGAAACTTGGTTAGAAACTTTATTTTTTGAAAACTGTTATTTTTAAAGTCTCTACATTTGGTATTTGTGTTAGAGGAGGGATGTGAGATGAGTAGATGGTATAGGTATACAGTGAAGTATTTGCTCCTGAGCCTCATCGGGTTTAGAGGGAGGGAGTTTGTCCTTCAGGGTTTGCTAGCTGGCCAAGTCCAAGTGAACGGGACTTTCAGGCCGTGTCCAACACTATCCCAGCAGCTAGCCTGTGGCCTGGCATGGAGACGGTGCACACTGAATACATGTTGAACAAATATGCTTTTAAACACCAGCCTTCTTTATCAGGTTGATGAAGTTACAACACAGATATGGCTATGAGTGGTGGTTTTTTAACACGGGTCCTTACCATTAAGCTATGATTTCTGTTTCTTGGTAGTTTAGAATTAGTTTTCTGAGCTTTGGTTTGATTTTTAGATTACCTGCCATGGCTGCACTTTTGTAAGACTGCTTATGCATTTTTTTAAAAAACATGGAAATTTTTAAACATGCACAAATGAATTCCAATATACCCATCCCCTAGCGTCAACAGTTATCAACATTTTGCAGTCTTCTCTTATCCTCTGCCTCATTGGAGTATTTAAGAGCAAATATTAGCCATGTACTTTCAACCATAAAATCTTCTCAATGTACATCTAATAGGTAAAAACATTCTTTTCAAACACAACCACAATATCATTTGTCCCTAACTGAATAGTGATAATTCATTACTACTACAGGATGCAATTTTGCATGCATATCACTTAGCTCTAGGCTTCCACAGCAGCCTGGTGGTGTAGATCCACCTTCACGCTTTCCTTGGGTTGACATACTCACTTCACAATTCTCCTGCAGAGAGAGAGGGGTTGCTTCCTTTTCGCAGGTATAGAAGGAAGCTCCAGAGAAATCTCAAGACCACACCGATAGTGGCTGGGCAAGCAGGGTTCAGGCCCACGTCTGTGCAGAAGCTCCCACTTGGTAGTGACTGAGTGGCTCATCGAGGGCCCATGCACAGCCAGAAGCTGAGTCCAGGGAGTGGTCATTCACTCCTCTCATTCCTACCATGAAGCCTGTGAACCCCACCTGGCATTTGCTGCAGGGGCATTTGGCCTCCTTAGATTTTCAAGTTATTTGGTACCTTAAAATTTTTTTCTTTAGCCCTAGCTGGTTTGGCTCAGTGGATAGAGCGTCGGCCCTGGGACTAAAGGGTCCTGGGTTCAGTTCTAGGCAAGGACATGTACCTCGGTTGCAGGCTCAATCCCCGGCTCTGGTCGGTCCATGTGCAGGAGGCAATCAACCAATCAGTGTGTCTCTCTCACATCAATATTTCTCTCTCTGTCTCTCCCTCTCCCTCTACTCTAATGAAAAAATATTCTCAGGTGAGAATTAACAAAATGAAACAAAAAACCTACAAATAAATAAATTGAATTAAAAGTGATTTAAAACATTTTTTTCTTTAAATAGTATAAAGTTTGGATTGTATCCTCCCTTTTTTTAAAAAAATTATTTTAGAGAGAGAGGGGGGAAATAAGAGGGAAAGGGAGAAATATCAGTCAGTTGCCTTCCATACCTGCAACCTAGTTGTGTGTGCGCTGACCAGGAATTGAACCTGAAACCCTTGGGTGCACTAGATGATGCTCCAACCAACTGAACCACAGTAGCCAAGGCGTGGAACCTTTACATTTTCAGTTCTGTTACTAGGTAACCCTAAAACATTGTGGGAATTCTTTTTTTTTTTTTTTTTTAACGGTACCACGGCCTTGGCCTTTATTGGTTGCAACGGGAAGTGGAAAAGGAGGGGATACGACAGCTCCGGATCCTGGGGCGGCTTCAGACTCCGTTGCCGACCCGGAAAGCCATTGTGGGAATTCTTGTTTTGGCCAATCATGTTGACATTTATCTTAAAAGTGAGTGCCTTTCCAGGATGAGCCTGCGGCCCTGGCTAGTGACTGGCTTAGATTGACAGAGCTAGCTGTTAGGTGGTTGTATGCAAAGGGTATATTTATCTGTTCCATGTTGTGCTGACAGGTTTTTTGTTGTTTACTCATTTGGGAGATTTCTGTGTGGACCAGAATGTTTACACAGAGTGGGGGTTGAGTAGGTTGTAGTCAAAATTATAATTATAGCTGTGTTTGTCCTGAAGACTTCTGTTGTGCATTTCAGTTGTCTCAACCTCTCCAAGGATGAACCCACAGGTGTGTCTTTGTGGTGCAGTGGTCACATCTACCTGGTGTTTCAGAAGGTTCTTGCCTTTCCAGTTTATAGGATCTTTTTAGAGCCCTGTCTCTTGCTTCTTCCATTTCTTCATTACCCTTAAGGACCAGAATCCATCTTTTCCTTTATATTTGTAAAAATGGGCATACTTTATATAAGAAATGATGAAAGAAGATAGAAGAAGTAAAAATCATCTGAGTGTGGGCCTGAAGTGAGATTTTGCTTCTAGAAACCAGCTCTTTTCATTTTTAGGGAACTTTATAATTAATTAGTTGTTTGTATCTTGGCTTAGCGGTGGTTACTTGAAAATAAAGATGTGTCCTGCTGTGTTAATGGGGCTTATTAATGAGTCAGCGCTGCTGTCCTCTAAAATTCATTCATCTATGAAATTTGAAACTAAAAAGATTTTCTGATTTTATAGATAGCTGAAGTATTGATAACACCAAGGAAATCTGTCACAATTTGAAAATATAAGCAAAATTTGATTTCCAGACACTACAGAAAAAGAAGTAAAAATGGTAAGAAACTTTTTCTTTAATCATAGGTACTATTTCTTCATACATGTACAGATGTTTGTAGTATTGCCTCAATATATTTGATTCTATTTTTCATTTAACTTGAATTCTACTACATAGTGTAACAATTCAAATAATATAGAAATATAAGTGGCCCCTTCCCCCACTGTCTAGAGAAAGAACAACTGTTATGTCTAGTGGTCCTTTTCCTAGTGTTCATATACAGGGATGGGCAAAAATGGGTTTACAGTTGTATGTGAAACACAGTTTATTCTTGTATTGTTATTTATTTATTATTGTATTATTAATTTGTATTACAACTATAAACCTACTTTTGTCCACCCCTGTACAGTAATCCCCCCATCCGTGGCTTTGCTTTGCTTACCCCTTGTCAACCGCAGCCCAAATATTATATGGAAAATTCCAGAAATAAGCAATTCAGATTCACCTCACTTCATCAAGTAGGCATTGTGTCATCATCACCTCACAAGACAAGGAAGGATGAGTACAGTACAGTGAGATATTTTCAGAGAGAGAAATATCACATTTACATAACCTTTATTGCAGTATATTGTTAAATTATTTTATTCATTGTTAATCTCTTACTGTGCCAAATTTATAAATTACACTTTATCATAGGTATGTATGCACAGGGAAAAAACAGTATATAGAGGGTTTAGTACTATCCGTAGTTTCAGACATCACTGGGGGTCTTGGAATGTATCCTCCGCGGAGAAGGGGGACTACTGTAGTCTTATTTTCACACAAATGATAAAGCATAGTTATGAGTTATGCAGCCTGAAAGGTAGGTGGTGCGTTGCTTGGTCTCTTCACATGGGTTTTAACTGAATTTTCACGTTTCCAGCGTCCATTGCGAATTTTTGTGAATGATGATCGCCACGTGATGGCAAAGCATTCTTCTGTTTATCCAACCCAAGAGGAACTGGAGGCAGTCCAGAACATGGTGTCCCACACAGAACGGGCTCTCAAAGCTGTGTCTGATTGGATTGATGAGCAGGAGAAAGGCAGCAGTGAACAGGCCGAGTCCGAGAACTTGGACGTGCCCCAAGAGGATGAGAGCAAAGAAGGGGCCGGGTAAGTTTGAGGTTTTGTTGTGGTTTTTTTGTTTGTTTTTCTTCTTTCTAGGGAGACTGATTAGTCTAGAGTTGAGCATTTCCTTTCTGAAGAAATCCAGCCTTTCTGGGTTCTGGCCAGACTGAATCCCTCACATAGCATGCGTTGATCTGTCCTTCAGGGAGCAAAAGACGGAGCATATGACCAGAACCCTGCGGGGTGTAATGCGTGTTGGCCTTGTGGCAAAGGGCCTCCTGCTCAAGGGGGACTTGGACCTGGAGCTGGTGCTGCTATGCAAGGAGAAACCCACAACTGCCCTTCTGGACAAGGTGGCTGACAACCTGGCCATCCAGCTCGCTGTGAGTGTGACCACATCCACTGGGTGGGGCAGAGGAAGAGATGCCCAACTGTGACATGTGCCAAAAGACATACTCTACACCCACCCTTATACCTGCTGTGCTCACACCTCAATAGGGAAAGGACTGGGTGCTGCAGAGCCACTTAGGATCTGAGGACAATGGCTGGGTGACTGCAGTGGTGCCCGGACACTGGCTTCGAGGAAGGACCCAGTACCTACCATATACTAGACTGCACTGTTCTAGGGCCTCAGTAGGCTTAAATTTCACATCCAGACTCCATTGGATGGCTGGGTCGGGGGATGGATGAATAGATAGTATAATTAACTCTTT